AGGGAGGAGAGAGAGGAGAGGAGAGAGAAAGAAGAGAGAGGAGAGGTAGTAGAGAGAGTAGAGGAGAGAGAGGGGGGAGGGAGGAAAGAGAGAAAGAAAGAGAGAGAGAGAGGAGGGAGGAAAGAGAGAGAGGGAAAAAACCCAGTATTAAAAATTTCAAATCGTCAGGAGGCAAGAAAACGACGTCACATCAAAACCCTGTGTGCTTACCATCCTGCATGTTACTCTCTAGTCCGTTACTGATGATATATGTTGACACTGATAACGCATCGCTATCGTCACCGTGACAGTTGTCGTTCTCTGCACTAGATTGCGCCCAGACAGTAAAACCCTCTGTGAAAACAAAAATTCACACACGATTCAGGCACAGTGGAAAAATCAATTTCGACCTCTAATTAGGGGTTAATGATCTGCGCCTCGAGGTGTATGACGTGTTCTAAGGCCTTGTGATAAGTTGCGCAATGCTATAACTACCAAATTAAACCTCCGGTCGAGCGAAGCGAACGAGATGGTTTTCATAATTATTATTTACCAGTTGTCACACTTTCTATGACGATATGGCGTAATAAACAATATGAAATGGGGACTTGTGATTGGTCGACGTCACCTGGCTATATGACAATGTCAAACAGTTAATCTGATATGTGAAGTTGAAAATGGGGTAGGCTTTACACACTCACATTTGGTTAAAGAAAATAGACTACTTACCAGTACAGTTATGTTTGTCCCTGTGCAGTACAAGTCCTTGACTACAGGAACAGTAGTAACTGCCTACAGTGTTGGTGCAGTTGTGACTACAGCCACCATTCAGAGTGGAGCACTCGTCAATGTCTACAGACAATAGAAAAAACTTGGACTGAAGAAAGTAGGATGTTTGGTTCTATATTTTTTCTACCAGTCTTTATTCTATATCAATACAGTGATCATTCAAAAAACGACGACTCCAAGGAGTATTATATTCAACTGAATATGTGTAGACGTTCTAAAACGGTTTGATTCTTTAACCGCCGTCAACTACAACTACCACGACAAAAGTCAACCACGATAATTACAACTTAAATAGATATTTAGAGACTTTGATAATTGTTACTCCGTGACGGAGTATTGTGAAGGGCTTGATTTTCGTGATAGCCGCTATAAAACGGGGTTCTCTTTGTGTAGTCGGCATGCAATTTTATACGCCGTCTGCGGGCATGCCCGCGTTGATGCACGAAGGTGTATTTTTGGCGTTGCTGTTTTCGCGGTCAATGTAATATTGCAAACGCACCCCTACAATTATGAGGCAAATTGGAATGGTCCAGAAAAACGCTTTGTTTGGAATAGCGGGGGGGCGTGATCAAACTTCATGCAGATACGCGGAGGGGTCGATAAGTGGTACCAGATGTTTTTCCCCATATGCTTAAGGTATGGGGCCGTTTGTAGAACATGTGGACAGTAAAAACGCATTGTTCCGTACGTGCTAATTACTGTGTAATTTGGTATGTGGTGTGCCACTATGTCCGTGGTGATGCACGTCTTTTTATTTTCACCCTAGCAGTTTTGATACTGATGTTAATGCATATTTTTGAAACATCCCTATATGTTCAGATCATCATCAATATAACACTAGACATTGTAACGATTTGGCAGTAATACACACAAAAAACAACAAAGAATGTTCACCATGATGTCTAGGTTTCCCAATACTTGGAACACATTAGACCGGAGTTTGCGAATTAATCCATCTTTCATGAACTTTAAGAGCACGTTAAAACGAAACCTTATAAATAACCCAACAGTCTGCTAGTTTAATCGCCCTATTAGACGTTTTTTTTTCATATCACTGAAACTGTTATTACTTCTTGGTTTGATTTATTCAGGTGTTACTTAGTTTCTTCATTAGTTTATTTTACTATAATTTTGTTCTTAAATGTACAATGGTAACTTATTTACTATTTGTTGAAATTTTCTAGTCATTTGCTTTGATTTTCTTTCAAGTATTTTAGTTAAAAATCAGTTAAATGTGTTTTGTTATGTTCAGGGAGAAGAGTTTGTATAAGCCTTTAAGGCTTCTACTTCTCCCGCACAATGTGTTTTTTTATTTACTTTAATGCCATGTATATTTTACGTTGTGCGAAATAAATAAATAAAAATAAAAATAAAAAATGTCGGTGATATGTTTTCGCCTGGGTATCTGACCGGCGGTATAGTAACACTCGCGGTGCTGCCCGCAATTGTTGCTTGGCCTGGCCAGTCGCGCTTGATAAGTAACAGGCACGGTAAGACGGTGGGGTGTTACCATTGACACGACCATGATAGTCCGATCTTTATGTGAATGTAATCATTGTGTGTGTTTAGTTAAAATGAACTTCAAACTTGAAGCACACAACACACCAGGTTGCTCCTAAACGAGTACCTATATTCGAAATACAGTAAAATACATCAGAACAAAATCAAACAAGACTTCCGAGATCTCATACATACATAAAATATGGGCTCGACATGTAAATGTAAATTTCTTCTTTAATTATGCAAATGACCTCCTTATCAACATAATAAATGCAACGTGATGTTAACTTTTGATTATCTTACACATGTATCAAGTATGAAATTCCCATCATTTACCACTAATGAGTCATAGAATTTTCGTATTAATTATACAAATTAGGTCATCATTTGCATAATTGATATCTGTTGAATTTCAAATTTCCATAGATTACATACATTACATGTATGACCTTCGTCTTTTTAAGACCTAACAACATACCAAATATCATCACAATCCATAAAGACGTTATGAAGTTATGCTGGCCACAAATGTGCGGAAACACAAACACACACACACACACACACACACACAGACAAACAGACAGGCACACACACAGGCAGACAAACAGACAGGCACACACACAGGCAGACACGCCACAACAAACAAGGCAACACAATCTGACAAAAAGATGACGCAAAATGACAGTAAACAGTTGAACCAGATTCAGCACCAGGGACAAAAACACAGCCAAGTCACCTATGACAGGCACACAGTAAAAGTCCAGGACAACAACAGGAGAAAAAGACAACACCATTGACAACAACGGAAAAATACAGCCAACAAACCAACAAGGTAACACCAGGGTCAGCAACACGCATCCAATCAAAAAACATCACACTTTACGGAGAATTGTTGCCTATGGCTGCTTGTTGTATCTGGTATCGATGATTATGATAATAAGGTTAAGACATACAGTGTTCTTACTATTCACCAATCATTTTAGTATAGCTATTTAATTTTTCTTACATTTCCTTATAACTGGATTGGTAGAATGATATTGTTTATACATACAGTTCAAAGAATTAACAGAGTAACATTTTCTTTACCTGGTATATAAGCCTCTACAATAGTTGGTCCTGCACGTACTGCGCTCTTTCTTTCCACGAACCAAGATGGTTTTGGTCCCTTCTGAGTAATCATGGCATAAGACTCTCTTAACCCTGTATCATGGGATACATTCAATCTTTCAAATATTCGACTATCAACTAACACTAAAAAAATGAGTACAGAATGTCTGGCTTATCTACACTGCATAACGTTTATGTTTAAAATGTTAAATTGATTGATATTCAACCAAGGATTAATGTGTTCAAAAGCTCATAGAGTGGAATTCGCTGCCATTAAGTACAGTCGGGTGCTCAGTCAGAATTAAACTTTCGCGATTTATTTAGTCTTCTCAAATCGTACCAAAAAGCAAAAATGAACCTGAAGTGAGAATGATGTTTAGTCTTCTATAGCTCTAAAGTAATGCTTTGTTTTAAATAAGAGATTAAAAGGAGATTACCTAGTGCAGTTGTAATTGTAGAACCGTATGGCGCTAGGTTGACTCGGACGCCGTCGCCGCTGTCATGAACAACGATAGCTAGGATCCGTCCCTGCAGTAAAATAGGAGCAAATATGACAGAGATATGAAAATACCAAGAAATGTAACATGCCGGATCTTCATCTATAAGTCGAAGCTACTGTTTATTTAGACATTGTATCATTATGTCGTTTACCTACAGTATAGCATGTAAGGTATGTTGTTATCAAGTTTAAAAGAAAGGTCAAACAGAAACATAATGCTTGTTAGAATGAACACGAGGTACTGAGTCTATGTAAGTATTTCTAATATCAATTAATGAAAAGGTCGTAAAGGTTGTAAAGCTAAGTATACTATAACTTTTAGGGAGGACCATTGGCAGATCTAAACTAGGTAAACGAAGAATCGATGTGAAAACGCTATAATTTTATAGTTGTAACAAAGAATCATATACTTTTTAATTTTAGTATATTATGGACATTATTAATCATAACTCACTCATTTGTACAGTTTATGTGAATACCATGGACCTACCTTCTCTCTCTCATTGTCAGTATGAGATCGTTGAATCCTATGTGATGTTTTGAAACAAAAACTCAAACTTATGAAAGACCAATCTACATCAGACCTTCTTGCCAGAGTGACCAGTATATCAACTATGCTTACCGCTGCAGCGCCTTCCAAAAATGCCATTAGTTGTCCCGCCGCTTGAGTGCCTCCTTCATGGGTGTCGAAAACAGCCTTGTCGATAACTTCTCCGGTCCGCTCATTCAAAATAAACGCCTGATGTCCTCGTACATATGGATGAACTGATGGTGTTGAAGATATCAGGTTAATCTCCTGTGAAATTTACTTAGTGCTCAAATTAAGAATATGGGAATAATGTATTTGCATTTAAAAGTACTACTTACGGAGTTTTAAAAGCTAAACAGGACAATTTTGGAGCCCCCAGCATGCAAAGTGCGTGTTGGCCGCCTTAACAACACATGGATACAGACTTTGAACCTGACTCTAACATTTGCAGAATGATGACTTTTATATATCCTCACCGTTTTGGTGAACTCTGATTTCCTGTCCATTGCTGACGATGTACGACCTGTTTCTGAATTCGCCATTGATTGTACCAGGATCTTCCCATCCAGTCGACACAGCCCTCACGATAAAACCTCCTGTGCATATAAATGAAGTTAGCATAGTACATGTGCCGTTAAGTTATGGATAGACCATGGGCCAGGCGAGTTTACTGGGAAATAGTGTTGCTCCGCTCACAAGGGGACTGCCCGACTCCCGAGCCTATTTCTTGTTCAATTTCAGTTTTACTTGTTAAATATCAGTTTCAATGCAGTGTTTGTCTTTGAGAAAGCTGGTCTGTTTGTGTTTAAATCCTCTTGTCCAATGGGTGATTAGCCTGCACAGAGGGTGGACATGGTTTCAATTAAAACCCAAAAAGTGTGGTACTAACCCAAAAAGTGTGGTACTAACCAAAAAGTGTGGTACTAATTTTATGCAAATGATTTTTGGATAGTACCACACTTTTCTGCACCATGGAGATATAGAAACAGAAAATGAGGGGCTCTCATTGGCTGAGGGATTGTGGCCATGTTCTAACAAAAAACTGTTTTTGATTAGATAAATCAAAATTAACACTTCTTTGTTGCCCAATTGGATGTTGAGTTATTCTTTTTTCTTTCTTTTGCTTTCAGGGTACAATACGACAACGCAAGGAAATATCCATATCCCACATTTACGAAATTTTATTAATCAATCAAAAGACACCTTAACCAGTTGAAGGTTGCAAAAGAATATACAGCATCAGCACAATAACTGTAAGGCAGCAAAATCGATATGTGTACACATAGTGTGCCCCCTTCAGCAACCTAGGCTCTAAAACTCATAAACCATATAATGATCTTACATAAGAAGCGATTGCAGCAAAGGCCTACCCTAAAGCACTTTGACTGCCTTTTTGTGTCTCATTTGGTCTACTTCCGATCCCCTTTTTTCTGTTTGTGTTTCTTTGAACAGTAGCAAACTCCGTTAAAACTGGCGTAGCCTTCTATTGGACACACTGTGGCAAAGGTAACGAGAATAGTTGGCTTGACAAAACATGAACCTGCCATTCATCAACTATTTTAGTATAAACTAACGACTGACGTAAGTATGCTGTCGACTTATGCATTTAAAGTCTAAGGTGGATTGTTTAGGGCGTGTTACAAAATCAATACAATTAACTGTATTTCCAAGATGAACACAAATTGATAAGTTACAAATGACAGGGATAGAATAATTCTTAAAGACATGCATTCATAAAATGCAGATAAAGATCAAATTAATCGCATGTTCCAAAGACATCCCCTGGTACCAAACGTCATGTTATTTATCAATTTATCAGAAGTGTTTTAAGTCGAGTATTAAACAACAAAGACGCAAGACAAAAGCCATATCCACACACATAAGCCATATCACACATGAAAATTTAAACTTAAGGTTTATATATATATATATATATATATATATATATATATATATATATATATATATGTGTGTGTGTGTGTGTGTGTGTGTGTGTGTGTGTGTGTGTGTGTGTGTGTGGTGTGTGTGTGCGTGTGTGTGTACTTTGCCCAGTGACTGTTGCAGTCGTCGCCATCAGCACCAGAACCACGCACGTCCAGAACCCGGATGTACACGGACCCGCCATCGTGCCTGCGTACAACACCTAAACACCTAAATTAAGTATTGCATTTTATCAGTTTGCAAGTTGAAAACACTGGTACACAAAAATTGAGAGAAAATATAAATAAAATCTTAACAAAACATCACTCGCATCAGAAAAGTGCTCTTTAACATGCTGTCCTTCATTTTTGTATCGGGAGGTGTCGCTGTTGAGCAGGTCATAAGTGTAAGACCACACCCATTTATTCTTGTTGATGGAATAGCGCGGGAAGAATTGAACATATAAACAACAGGAAAAATATGAAATAAATGAAATAAACCAATACAGAATCCATACCATATGTTTATAGAACCTGCATGTACTTGCAACAAGGGCTTACCGTGTTTTAGAATTTAACGGAGGCAACCCATGTGCCTAAAATCAACTCAGAAGAGTAAGTCAAATAGCTACGATCATTGATTGCTAAGTTCTGAACGATGGATTTTGAGGTACGTGCATAGTGCTGCTGTTGAACAGGAGTCGTCATGAACACCGCAGCTCTAAACGACGCTTGGATTTAGATATGCAAATGTTTATGTGTTACAGGTTACCCAATGATATACATGTGATGATGAACCGTTCAAAGGTCCTGAAATTACGACAAGGCCACACGCAGCTTGGGTCGTAGCGGACCACAAAAGGCACGCGACGTTTTGCGTCGGTGTTCAAAACCTATAATTTAGCTACACGAGACTTGTCGTTCACAGAGAGTCAGCAAAATGCGCACAGAAATAAAAACTGCTGTCAATCGCAGAGCAACCTCGTGCGATTTTCGGTTTCGCTGTGCCATGCGTGAAGAAACAAACTACTAGTGGCATCGACAGAATACAGTATCCTATAGAAATTACGAAAGCAAAATAAAGTACTTGTGTAAATAAAGTATTGTCTTGTCTTGATTATGCTACATGTACCCTGCACTTTTGAGTCGGAAGGTGGCGCTGCAAGTCCTGAATATAATTAATAGTGCACTGCAGTTAAGAGTTTAGGTATAGTGTTTTCAATCAGGCGTCGATACTTGTCCAACAACTTTCGGCGTGTACACGCTTATTCCAACATGCCCTCTGTACGACATCCCGTCTTTGTGTGCCGTAAAACCTGTGACAAAATTATTCACATTGGCTCAAAAACATGAAACACACCTTTTCATCTTTGTGTGTAACTAAGACGCCAGATGATTACCACGGTACTGACGAAAAATTCAAGTTTTAACGCGCTGATAACACAAATCAGATAGTGGATGGTTCAGTGTCCCGGACGTTATGTATATAAATCATTAGTTGTATTCCTGTTGTTTTGAGCATGTTGATCATACGAATTTTTTTCTTGAAGTGAGTATGCAAATGAGGAAAGCCTTGTTGACAATGGTCTGCTCAAAATGGCACCATTACACGCGGGCATCAAACGAGGTGGAAGGAAAATCTGCCCGAGGACAAGTTGTCTGCGTTTTGTCATTATCATTTCAGTCAAAACGCTACAAAGTAGACAGCATCTGAATGCACAATATTTTGGACCTTCTCCTCTCAATAATTCACATCTTTAAATTTAGCGATACCCAATGATACATGGCAAACAGTAGGTAAATGGTCTGTTTTTTTTCCACACTACTTCGTGAATCATAGGTCTAATCGTAAATGTTGAATTGACTTCATTTCAGAGTCGGTATGTATCTTTTACTGCGGTTACAATATGACGTTTGTGTGTCTTACACATAAGCCGACCGTGGACTTAAGGATTTTCTCAAAACTACGGTTGGGTCAGCTTCTTGTGAGATGTTTGGCAGTTTTTCGGCAAGATTGCCTGTTAATCTTAAATAAATTGACTGCGCCAGCTAACTATAATGTTTGAAAATCAAAGTTGGGAAAGTCATCCATGGAAGAAAACTAGGTCATCTCACAAACTCGATAGTATCCACTGCAAATCAGAAAGATATAACTCTAGTGCAATACCTCACATGGTACGACTGTTGAACTTGTAAGAAAAAAAAGTGCCCTATTCTAAATTATATTGTATAATGTGTCTTCATGAGATCTTTTAAATCTTTTAAATTTGTTAATTTTGTGTAATCCAGTTACAGTATAACTACGCTTTTAATATTGTACCCTATATAGTTAATGTTTTTAGTATGAATACCAACTGTTGTTAATGGAACCCCCACACTGTGACTGCCATGTGGGAACCATTGTTAGGAGTTTTACATGAAACAAATATACCAGTATTACTATTTTGCAGAAGAGCAGAGTAGAGCTAGAACAGGATAGGTTTTGGGCCACTTCCCACCCATCGTCTATATTGGTTGGGGATTGGTCGAGAGTAAAACCGGTCTAGCCAAAAGAATGACAGGGGCTTGACATGTAGCTTGGCTCGTGCATGACCACACAGAGCCACGCGACGTACTTATCGTGTTGGATTTTTAAAACCTACAATTGAATTAAGGAGGCCTGTCCTTTCCTTAAAGTCAAAGAGCCATCAAAGTACCCACAGGTGGAAAACTGCAACGAATTATGCGAAAAACCTAGATGGATCTTTCGGTTTACTGCACAATGACCATTTACACGTATTTCAGTGTTACACCACCATCATGACATATAAAATGTAATAACACTGGTCACTTTTATTTTGGAATGTCAATTTCCGAATTTCAAGACAGCTATGTTGAAACCCCTGATTTTCAAATCTGTTATTCGTAACGCGCACACTTTTGCCCTGTTGGGTCACAGAAACGTCATGATGTAACCGCAGTAAAAGATACATGCGAGCTCTGAAACGACTTTAATTCAACATTTATGAATAGAGCTATGATTCACGAAGTATTGTGAAAGAACAGATCATTCATCTACTGTTTGCCATGTATCGTTAAGTATCGTTAAATTTAAAGATGTGAATTTTGGGGGAGGAGAAGGTCCCAAACAGTGTGCATTCAGATGCTGTGCACGAAGTTATGCTCCTGTCGTCTACGTAGCAGCATTCTTGCTTGAAAGGACAATGACAAAAGCACAGACAACCTGTCCTCGGGCAGATTTCTCTTCCAGCTCGTTTGGTGCCCGTGTGTAATGGTGCCATTTGTGCCATTTTGAGCAGACTACCATTGTCAACAAGGCTTTCCTCATTTGCATACTGACTTCAAGAAGAAAATTCGTATGATCAACTGTAGTGCTCAAAACAACAAGAATACAACTAATGATTTATATACATAACGTTCGGGACACTGAACCATCCACTATCTGATTTGTGTTATCAGCGCGTTAAAACTTGAATTTTTCGTCAGTATGGTGGTAGACCATATCGACACAAGTATAATCATCTGGTGGTAATCATCTGATGAAAGATGAAAAGGTGTGCTGTTTTTGAGCCAATGTGCAGGATCTTCTTACAAGTTTTAGTGCACACAAAAACGGGATGTCGCACAGAGGGCATGTTAGAATAGTTATGTACACGCGCAGAAAGTAGGGGTCACAGACGGATCTTTAGTTCAACCGAAAGTATCGACGCCTGACTGAAAACACCATATCTACACTCTTAACTGCAGTGCACTATTAATCAAATTCAGGACTTGCAGCGCCACGTTCGGAGACAAAAGTGCAGGGTATCACAAACAAGACAACGCAATACTTTATCGACACAAGTATAGCGACTTTCGTAATTCTATAGGTGGCTGTATTTTGTTTATGTCGGTATTTGTTTGTTTGTGCCAATAAGATTGTGAAGCGCACATGGCGGGCACAGTGAAACCGAATATCGCACGAGTTTCTTCTAGATCTGTGATTGACAGCAGTTTATATTTCGATGACATTCGTGTAATATAATTATAGGTTTTGAACGTACTCCAGTTCGATCTTCTACAGAAGAGTTTTATAGTCAGCTGGCGCAGACGACTTTAATACGCCGAAGGACGGTTATACCAACTATAATGATACAGATACTTGTGTGTTACGCCGAAGGGAGGTTATACCGGCTATACAGATACAGAAGCTGGTGTGTTACGCCGAAGGGCGGTTATACCGGCTATACAGATACAGATACTTAGTTAAAGAGTTTGACTTGTTCCAACACAATAAGGAGAACTCACCATAAATTTTCGGCTGATCCCGTCAACCTTCGTCAGATTTGTGATGCAATCGCTGACTATCCGGAAGTCGGAAACGTGATGACGTCAGGAGTGCATCAAAAGTGGCGGGAAGACGGTATCTCCCACCATCACGGTTCAGAGAGGGTTGGTGGGCCCTGATGTAAACTGCCTCCTTCACGCCTCTCACAAAGTAATCCTGCTCCGTATCTAGAATGCGCACCTTGTCCAATGTAACTTTGTGAGAGGCGTGAAGGAGGCAGTTTACATCAGGGCCCACCAACCCTCTCTGAACCGTGATGGTGGGAGATACCGTCTTCCCGCCACTTTTGATGCACTCCTGACGTCATCACGTTTCCGACTTCCGGATAGTCAGCGATTGCATCACAAATCTGACGAAGGTTGACGGGATCAGCCGAAAATTTATGGTGAGTTCTCCTTATTGTGTTGGAACAAGTCAAACTCTTTAACTATGTATTCTACCAACACAGATGAGCTTTCATTCGAAGATACAGATACTGGTGTGTTACGCCGAAGGGCGGTTATACCGGCTATACAGATACAGAAGCTGGTGTGTTACGCCGAAGGGCGGTTATACCGGCTATACAGATACAGAAGCTGGTGTGTTACGCCGAAGGGCGGTTATACAGGCTATACCGATACAGATACAGAGATAAACTTGAAAGGGTACAGAAAATGACCCAAGCCTGAGTCAGGTGACCTCTAGACCCTCATTATCAAACCCTAATGCAAACCTATACAAAATGTATTTTCTTTAACGAACCGGGCACCCAAACAAAGTCGTTTGTTTAACAAAATAGAAAGACTATAAAATCCTTACTTTCAGCTCCAAAAACAGCACCCCCCCCCCAAAAAAAACAAATACTTCTTTACGTTTGGTTTCAGTGTAAATTTGGCCCACTGCGCTTGCGCGGATCAATGGCCTTTGCCATTCCTGCCCTGTTGCATCATGGGTAGTATCAATGTCAGATAAATAATGTTTTACAGCATCAGACAGACGTTTCTTTTATCCTTACTAAGCCAAGCAAAACTATAGATAAAAGTGCCGCTATCTGCAAGATGAGGCACACCCAACTCGCGGATTTATAGCTTGAAACGTGACGAAAGGACGAAAACATGTCGTAGCTCATTAGACATAGTCCATCACACGGGTTTTGAACACACCGAATGTGTATGTGACATGTTACACATATTCATAGCAGTACGTTGTACTTAAACTATTAGTATTTCGAGTTGTGTTTTAAAGGCTCAAATTTGATGCTATTCAGACCAAATAAGAGCAATGAGTTAATGGCATGATAAATTTTTACCAGTGTATTTTCTATCCGGTGTAAAAAAATCCCGTCATAGTCACCTCAAACAAAATAGAAAATAAACCTTGCTCAAACGCTTGTCTCCCTCCAACTATGGCAATATATCTGTTCCAACTGTTGCTGCCGTCGTAACCCCCCCCCTCCGCAAAAAAAAGAAACACCTCACGAAGCTTGTTTCTCGGCTATTTCAAACGCTTCAAGCATGTCATCATGACAAAAATGTGCTGAAAATGGCAGTTAAGGTTTTGCCGCCTCCAAATTGCATTTGATACCTTTAATAACATGAAAGCATTCTTTCCATAAGGATAAAGCCCACCTTTCACACCAGATGCGCACGTAAGACCTAGAATGATGCAGCAGATGAGTCTGACCACATCTTGCCGTGCAGACATCCTTCTACCGGGCCTCTCCCTCAGAGTCCTCGGAAGAAGATGCAAGTGGCCCCGTATGGATGTTGTTTCTGGCCTAGTCAACGTGTTATATACGCTTTATCCCGGTTTCTGGCGTTAAGCCGTGTTGTGAAGTGTAAAGACAAAAACCTTCCACAGACAGACACGCAGTGCGAACCTGTGGCTCGGGCAATTTGCACATTTATGTTCGATGATCGGTTTTGGGCAACTCCCAAGCAACGCTCACTACGTCATAAAAATATGGACGAAACCATGAAAAATGGTGGAGGTGCCTTGATTATTTTTTACTTTAAAGGAAGTTTTAACTCCTTAAAAGACGATATTAATTCCCGTGAATACTTCTGCTACTAAGCATAAGAACCACCATTGTACATTTTACGACTTTTCTCTCTCGATACTTTGTCTGCACGTTTATTTCTGTCATCCAACCATAAACTATTCGTTTCTGGGCGTTGCTTACAGTGACCAAGGACATTATACACGTGTCCTTGCAGTGACTCTTTTGAGTGTGAGAAACACTTAAGATGATCAGACAGGTGGAAAATATAATATCGAGACAGAAAAAAATATTTTGTATTTCTTCTTTGACAATTTCATGTTCACCGTCACAATGTCCTACATAGTAAGACTTGCCATTTAAAAAAAACTTTGGAATGTTAAAAAAACGACGACCGGGATGTGAAAGAAAATATAGAAAGTGTTCGATGCAACGGGTGGCTTATAAATTATTCAAGCCACCATTAGCCTAACTGCGCTCCGCTACTGTACACATGAGTTCAGTGACCTAATGCAGCACCATATATAAGTCTTTTTCTCTTTTCATTCTTGTTCCTTAAATAGAAATTGTGATCCTACTTTGAGTGATGTCAAATTTCTATTACCATACTATTTTTTCTGTACTCATCTGGTGTTTTCATTGTTTCTTCAGAATATGTAAAACTACAAAATGCCACATTCTATAACCTGTGGGTTGAAGCATACCCGACCAATCTGTATAGAATGGGTCGCTTTTAGAAAATGGCAACAGCACTGCAAACAAATTATTGAATGTGCAATTGCGTAACTTGGAAAAGGCAGTATAAAATACTGTGCAGATTGACGATTATGGCAGGGTCTTTTCTTGGTGCTGAAAAGCTTGTCTAATACACATTCAAGGTTTCCCTACCTGTGCAGGTCCTGTAAAGCTGTAAAGAACAACATTATGTTAACGAGCATGTACTACTTACCACATTGATACTCAGCCCTGCTGGCCTGTCCGAAGACTGTAATGTTAGTTGTATCCCAGTCAATCACATTGCCATGGTAACTACAGTCCACTCCTGTTTCGGCTGGAGACAACACGCGGTCCCAGAGGTTTACTCCCGACAGCTCTCCGATGAATGACTGGTGTGCTTCGAATTCTCCCCCGACTACGTCTTGATCCTGACCGAGAATCCACGTGCCGCCTGTACGCACCCTCCCTCCCATTCTAAACCCGGACCCTGAAGCCGTCAGCACGCCGTCAGCGTACAGCTGCCAGGCCCCATCACTGTTGCTCCAGGTAGTACATATGGTGTGCCACTCGCCGTCCCAAACGGGTGGGTCTGCCATGTGGATTTCGCTTTGTAAGAATAACTGAAAAAAATTACATGAGCTGATTTATCAGCCAAGATATTTACAAAAAGAAATTCAGAATAGCTCTACCAAAACTATCAGGACACACTTGCAAATCCTTTTACATTGGTTAGTTTACATACGATATTATCCAGCATAAGCAAGCAATAGACAGCAGAAACCTAATATCGAAAGCAATTGTATACTTACTAAAAATCCACCTTCAACATTTAAGAGAAGCTCGTTGTCGTGTTCTGGTACTGCGTAGCTGACCAAGTTTATATCGTTGCTGGAATCCATGTTGGAGCGCATGTGCACACAGAGGGTAAAGCTTGTTAAGTCCTCAGACAATATTGTCTCCATCCTGGCATAGTCAACAATGCCTCTTGGACCGGGGAAGATGATCTTCTGTGAGTCGCCTGGTACAACATGTGACTTTGTTAAACTAACAAACTTTTAAGGCTGACGACGTGTGTGACAATGTAGTCAACAAGAAATGTACAGCTTAAAATCACAATCTGTAAGATTCTGTAAGATTCAGATTCTTTCATTGTTGCTTAAATAGGACAGATTCAGAAAAGGAAATACATGTAAAAAGAGAAAGCCCGGCATTTACTCGGGAGGAAATACATCATATTTCACGCCATCTCTCTGCCCATTTCAAAATGAACTGCTGCTATATTAACACCTTGCAGAAATTAATAAACCAAAAGTTACCTTTACTCACAATATAATCCTACTCGGAAATTCAGTTTTCATATACTTTGACCCCGCCTGCAGGAATGGACCCTTCTCAAAATACCCCCATACAAAATGGCCGCTTCCAAGTTCCCCTTGCCCAGTCTCTAAAAATCCTATTTTAGTTTTACATTATTTTAAGTATATGCCAAAAAAGTGAATTAAATTTAATGACCATGTGCCAAAGATAGCCCCATGTCAGATATCAGGTCATTTGGGTTTAATACCGAAAAAGCCTGCCCAAAACTAAAAACTAAAAAAAATTTAAGTACATGTATTTTAGGTATGAATTTTGACACGGAAATTGCAGAATCATATACACGCAATGTATCGGTGCGTTTTCCATTGGTGACGTAAGTGTGACGTGTTTGTAATAGGTCGGAAGTGACGTGTTTTACGTTGAATGTGACATAAATTAAGCAAAAAAAAATGTAACATATTTCGCTCCGTATTTTTGGAACAGATATATTGCCATATTCCAACGGCCAATGTAGACAATGTCAACTTTCTTGTCATTAATTCTTTTAATGTAGTAAGTTGAATCAGGCCTACTCCATAGCATATTGATATCTTTGAGGCAAGAAACTGTAATGTCGCTGACGGAAAACGGTTGCTGGTTTTGCCTCGTAGCTATTTATGGGCGGTAACCCCCCCCCCAAAAAAAAAAATAGAAACACCTCATGAAGCTTGTTTCTAGGCTATTTCAAACGCTTCAAGCATGTCATCATGACAAAAATGTGCTGAAAATGGCAGTTAAGGTTTTGCCGCCTCCAAATTGCATTTGGTGCCTTTAATAGCATGAAAACATTCTTTCCATAACGATAAAGCCCACCTTTCACACCAGATGCGCATGTTAGACCTAGAATGATACAGCAGATGAGTCTGACGACATCTTGCCGTGCAGACATCCTTCTACCGGGCCTCTCCCTCAGAGTCCGCGGAAGAAGATGCAGATGGGCCCGTGTAAATTTTGTTTCTGGCCCGGTAAACGTGTTGTTTACGCTTTATCCCGGTTTCTGACGTTAAGCCGTGTTGTGAAGTGCAAAGACAAAAACCTTCCACGGACAGACACGCAGTGCGAACCTGTGGCTCGGGCAATTTGCACATTTATGTTCGATGATCGGTTTTGGGCAACTCCCAAGCAACGCTCACTACGTCATAAAAATATGGACGAAAAATGGTGGAGGTGTCTTATTTTTTTTTACTTTAAAGGAAGTTTTAACTCCTTAAAAGACGATATTGATTCCCGTGAATACTTCTGCTACTTAGCATAAGAACCACCATTGTACATTTTACGACTTTTCTCTCGATAATTTGTCTGCACGTTTATTTCTGTCATCCAACCATTAAGTATTCGTTTCTGGGCGTTGCTTACAGTGACCAAGGACATTATACACGTGTCCTTGCAGTGACTCGTTTGAGTGTGAGAAACACTTAAGATGATCAGACAGGTGGAAAAGTTAATATCGAGACAGAAAAAAAATATTTTGTATTTCTTCTTTGACAATTTCATGTTCACCGTCACAATGTCCTACATAGTAAGACTTGCCATTTAAAAATAACTTTGGAATATTAAAAAAACGACCGGGATGCGAAAGAAAATATAGAAAGTGTTCGATGCAACGGGTGGCTCATAAATTATTCAAGCCACCATTAGCCTAACTGCGCTCCGCTACTGTAAAAATGAGTTCAGTGACTTAATGCAGCACCATATATAAGTCTTTTCTCTTTTCATTCTTGTTCCTTAAATAGAAATTGTGATCCTACTTTGAGTGATGTCAAATTTCTATTACCATACTATTTTTTCTGTACTCATCTGGTGTTTTCATTGTTTCTTCAGAATATGTAAAAACTACAAAATGCCACATTCTATAACCTGTGGGTTGAAGTATACCCGACCAATCTGTATAGAATGAGTCGCTTTTAGAAAATGGCAACAGCACTACAAACAAATTATTGAATGTGCAATTGCGTAACTTGGAAAAGGCAGTTTAAAATACTGTGCAGATTGACGATTATGGCAGGGTCCTTTCTTGGTGCTGAAAAGCTTGTCTAATACCCATTTAAGGGTTCCCCTACCTGTGCAGGTCCTGTAAAGCTGTAAAGAACAACATTATGTTAACGAGCATGTACTACTTACTGCATTGATACTCAGCCCTGCTGGCCTGTCCGAAGACTCTGATGTTAGTTGTATCCCAGTCAATCACGTTGCCATGGTAACTGCAGTCCACACTTCTCAAAATACCCCCATACAAAATGGCCGCTTCCAAGTTCCCCTTGCCCAGTCTCTAAAAATCCTATTTTAGTTTTACATTATTTTAAGTATATGCCAAAAAAGTGAATTAAATTTAATGACCATGTGCCAAAGATAGCCCCATGTCAGATATCAGGTCATTTGGGTTTAATACCGAAAAAGCCTGCCCAAAACTAAAAACGAAAAAAAATTTAAGTACATGTATTTTAGGTATGAATTTTGACACGGAAATTGCAGAATCATATACACGCAATGTATCGGTGCGTTGCATGTGACATAAATTAAGCAAAAAAAATGTAACATATTTCGCTCCGTATTTTTGGAACAGATATATTGCCATATTCCAACGGCCAATGTAGACAGTCAACTTTCTTGTCATTAATTCTTTTAATGTAGTAAGTTGAATCAGGCCTACTCCATAGCATATTGATATCTTTGAGGCAAGAAACTGTAATGTCGCTGACGGAAAACGGTTGCTGGTTTTGCCTCGTAGCTATTTATGGGCGGTAACCCCCCCCCCAAAAAAAATAGAAACACCTCATGAAGCTTGTTTCTAGGCTATTTCAAACGCTTCAAGCATGTCATCATGACAAAAATGTGCTGAAATTGGCAGTTAAGGTTTTGCCGCCTCCAAATTGCATTTGGTGCCTTTAATAGCATGAAAGCATTCTTTCCATAACGATAAAGCCCACCTTTCACACCAGATGCGCATGTAAGACCTAGAATGATACAGCAGATGAGTCTGACGACATCTTGCCGTGCAGACATCCTTCTACCGGGCCTCTCCCTCAGAGTCCGCGGAAGAAGATGCAGATGGGACCGTGTAAATGTTGTTTCTGGCCCGGTAAACGTGTTGTATACGCTTTATCCCGGTTTCTGACGTTATGCCGTGTTGTGAAGTGTAAAGACAAAAACCTTCCACAGACAGACACGCAGTGCGAACCTGTGGCTCGGGCAATTTGCACATTTATGTTCGATGATCGGTTTTGGGCAACTCCCAAGCAACGCTCACTACGTCATAAACATAGGGACGAAACCATGAAAAATGGTGGAGGTGCCTTGATATTTTTTTTACTTTAAAGGAAGTTAATATGGTATTAATTCCCGTGAATAATTCTGCTACCTAGCAGAAGAACCACTTGTACATTTTACGACTTTTCTCTCTCGATACTTTATTTTTTTTTATTTTTTTTTATTTTATTTTATGACGATTTACCACATTTGTGGAAGGATTGACATAACAGGTGACTATCACCTCTTCAAAGATGTCAACCCCGAGACCAGACTGTAAGGCTTGAACCACTCACACCGGGAAGGTCCCCTACTCTTTTCGATAAGTGCGGTGGGTTCTTTAACGTGCGTGGGGTGTGGCTCTCCCAAACACGGGACCTCCATTTAACGTCCTATCCGAGGGACGTTAGCCGAAGGGACGTTAGGGACCTAGCCGAAGCTAGGTACTCACCTGAGTGAAGTGCCTTTCCCAAGGGCACAAGATCGGTGACATGGGCAGGGTTCGAACCCACGACCTCTCGGGTGTGAGCCGAACACGCTACCGACTGCGCCACACGACCCCACGTTTATTTATGTCATCCAACCATAAACTATTCGTTTCTGGGCGTTGCTTACAGTGACTCATTTTGAGTATGAGAAACACTTAAGATGATCAGACAGGTGGAAAATATAATATCGAGACAGAAAAAATATTTTGTATTTTTTCTTCGACAATTTCATGTTCACCGTCACAATGACATACATAGTAAGACTTGCCATTCAAAAATAACTTTGGAATTTAAAAAAAAAACGACCGGGATGCGAAAGAAAATATAGAAAGTGTTCGATGCAACGGGTGGCTTATAAATTATTCAAGCCACCATTAGCCTAACTGCGCTCCGCTATTGTACAATAGAGTTCAGTGACTTAATGCAGCACCATATATCATTTTTTTCTCTTTTCATTCGTCGCCGAGTCGACTTAGAAATGGTGTGTGTAAAGCGGGCCTATCGGTACGGCCTGCTATTTTCTTTGACCCAAAAATTTCCCCAAATTTCTTTTCTGTATATAGTACCAGCCTACATTTTAGTGGCCAATGGAACACCTATAATTTCGAGCCCTGTTTTTTTTTATCCACCGACTTCAGTTTTACATGATTAAGGAAGCTATGTAAAATGTTTGTTGTACTTAAATGTTCAGATTCAATGCTGAATTCTGCTACATTTACATGTATGTGATAATGCTTAATTCTGCTACATTTACATGTATGTGATAATGCTTAATTCTACTACATTAACATGTATGTGATAATGCTTAATTCTGCTACATTTACATGTATGTGATAATGCTTAATTCTGCTACATTTACATGTATGTGATAATGCTTAATTCTACTACATTTACATGTATGTGATAATGCTTAATTCTACTACATTTACATGTATGTGATAATGCTTAATTCTACTACATTTACATGTATGTGATAATGCTTAATTCTGCTTCATTTACATGTATGTGATAATGCTTAATTCTGCTACATTTACATGTATGTGATAATGCTTAATTCTACTACATTTACATGTATGTGATAATGGTCAACCTACATTATGTACATATTAGGTTTCATCTTTTGAAAAGGAATACACTAACTTTCTACATATATTTACGCCTAGTCAGAAATTATAAAATCCTAATAATTCCTTATGCAGGATTTTACTCACATTTGAACGGAATGTCTCGCCATTGACAATACTAGTCTTGCTAGTTTATTTACTGAGAATAGTGTTTTTATTTGTTCAGATAGAATTACTACTTTTTGAGATCTTCGTCTCGACAAACATGTACCCCTGTTATCCCTGGGCGACATTCTTTTGGAGCTTGTTTCGAGCAGTCAGAACTCTTTACTGGGGGTTGTGTTGTCAGACTCAGATATCCTCATCTCAATGAATCTGATTCCATCAATCCCCCGTTTCTTATTCTGAGAGATTTTGAGGTCAGTCTTCGGCCTTCTTCCAATAGAAACCATTTGGGTTCAAGGCATCCGACATCCCCCCTCCCAAAACCCTCCCATTTTAAATATGTAACGGGGGACCGTTGAGAGATTTCGCTCCATGGTTTTTGTAATGACTACCTCCCCTTTACGAGACATCATATATTCTCCAACTGTATTTCCCGCTATTCGGGCCCAACTATAACTTATACTTTGCCTGTACATCTTCCGTTCGTCACGGAAACAGGAATAATACGCAAAGGTCAAAATTCCTTTGAAAGGTTTACAATGGTTGTCCATTCGGATAGAATCAATACTTTCTAAGATCCTCATCTCCACAAAGCCGAACCCCAAAATCCCTGGCCTGTTGTTTCGAGATAGCTTCGGGCAGTCAGACCCATTATTGCCATAATAAAAGCCAGTCGGGTTCAAAGTATACGACGGACCCAAAACCCCCCCGTGTTATGCATGTAGCAGGACAACCATGGATTGATCTTGTTACAAGGTTTGAGAACAAATTTCCGACCATTCAGCCTCCGGAGATAGTTGTGTCCACGAGTCCCTGTATATGAGCCCAGGTGTACGTAACTTATACAGTGCCTGCGCATTTTCCACTGAGAAACTGTCATATTACATGTAAATACTAGGTAAACGGGACGGGCATGCAGTACAGGTTTTAGATACTTCTAATCTAACATTCAATATGTACCTGCCCTGGTTTGTCAGTAGATGGATTTTGTCGTTTCCGAGCCAGACCTCCCTCCAAAGGTTGCCGAAGCCCCGGCTGTAGTCCTCCCAGATCCGGTTGTAGAAGTTCACAGACCCGCCCTGGCGCCTCTGGATGACGGTCCAGGCCCGGCCGTCCTCCACACGGCAGAACACAGGAATTCGGGCATTGTAGTTGCTCTTGCCGCCAGCCTGACGAAGGTAGATGGTGTAGATTCCAGAATCCATGACGCCTTTGGAGCTTCGGTAGATTTCTCCGCAATCTACGATCATCAGCGAGACAAAATTTTGTCATTGATACAATCGAATTCGAAGTTTTCTGGTTATACGATGGTTCTGGAAGAACTCATTTGGGCCCTGAAAATCATATTCAAATTATATGTAAAGATATAACAGTTTCTGTGTTATTAAAATCAAGACTGACAGATTCCTTTTTTTAAAAAAAGGTCAACCAAAAAATGCCACTCTTGACTTTTCGTAATGTGCTAGTGAGATCACTATTATTTAACATTTAGTTCATACCTCACTAAAATCCAGGTCTATAGCTGTCAACCCTCGGAGAATGGTTGACCCTACAGGAGTAAGCTGGAGAAAAAAAATTAAATAGCTTTCACTATCTTTACCCGGGAGAACGTCCGAAAAAAATCAATGCAATAGGAGACATGAAAAAGTCTACTGAGAGCTTGCTATCAAAAACAAACATTAATAACAGTATCTACATTGTGGCCCTTAGGGAGAGTCGGACATGCTACAAGAATAATGAAATGGCCAAAACACGTACTATACACTTTACAAATCTTCGGCTTATGTTGAAGAAGGTATAAAAAGGCATTCAACAAAAACAGTAAGGATTGCCTTGTACTCTGTACCTCTGTGACCTCCTGGGTATATGGCTCGCCGACAAAGGTTGGTCTGTTATCATTCAGGTCCAGAACTACTGCTATAATACTGTTGTCCACCTGTAGGGAAGGCGTCATGGCGACGTAATGATCATAAAACAAATTGGGATTCAATCAGGATTGAAGTATTTAGTGGGGGCGGGGGGGGTACATAGTATGTTTGGGTTTTAGAGTTGGAAGTATCTTGTACTTGGTCATGTCATACAAGCCTATAGATATAGGTTTCAAGATATCACATTTCAGTTGATTCATATTGTGTCGTTTATTGTAATCACCAGGTATGTGTACCAATCATAAAATGAAATATACAATCTATCGTTGAATAACGGTGTAAGTTATGTCAAAATCCATTGTTAGGGTATAAAGAAGAAGAAAAAATAACAAGCTAGCTGTAGGATTTATTCCGGCACTTAGCAACGAGACGTAAATAAGAAAAAAGATGGTAGAAAAAAGATGGTAGAAGAATAGTTTGTTACATGGCATCAAACATTGTTAGATATGGATAATGATGGGCATGGAGACAAAGCTCGTCGCAAAAGTAAGGCTGGGAGGAAAAATTTTGTTTGGGTTATAATTCGTAATCAATGTAAGTTATTATCAGTTGTCAACCATTTGTAATCTATAGGTTTTAAATCTCTGGATTTGATTTCGTGGACTTGTTTTAATGTCAGGAAGGGACATAGTGGGTTCATCAAGAATTCGTTTTACCAAATACGTTATTCTTGAGAAAGTTACCATTGACAAAAAGAGATGAAAAAACAAAACACACTTACCATTGCGTCCGTGGCCAAAAACCTGCACATAACAATGAATCTAAGATCACGAATGCCCGAAACCCCCTGTTAAAAAAACAGCATCAAAGGAATCATTATTTCAAATTATAATTCTTTATTGCAGTCAGATTTTCATTTGCTTCAAGGTACAAAGTACAAATTTGTCCCACATGTTTGAATATGATTAACGTGAAAACGTACATCTCTGTCCAAAACATTTCCATTAAGTGAGAGTCTGAGCTGTTGAAGTTCCTCTATCAGCAGGCCCCAGTCCCTGTCAGCGGAGTCCTGCAGAGTCAGTTCTATTGTCTGGTTCATTCCGACTGTCGTCCCGGCAAATTACATGTTCGACACAATGGTCGTCGTTAAGACAAGAGAACCGTTTTTATAGATTCACAGAATGCTGATACCTAAATTGAATTTGAATATATATATATAGTAATTATGTCAATGTTCATATGCTTATAATCTACGTATCTGTAAAATGTGAACACAATTTAGTTGTGTCCGAAGAAATTCGGCACGTCTGCAAAGTTAATTCTTAATAAAGATTTGATTTGATAAAGGAACACGATGTACCCCTAAGTGTATCACCCAATGGAGTATTTTTCCTCAACTTTTTTTTCCTGTATCCTATATGTTGTGGCCCTGTATATTTTTTTGTATGTTGACATACTTGCGTTTTTTGATAATGTTCGGTATGCGATCAGGAAAATTGCCATTTGTTCAGTGTGATTTTACTAGAATTGCAAAACACTTGACTTGCGTTATTAAAACCACAAGTAACAAAACAAGAAAATCTTACTACTTACTATCCGGGCTGTTCTCCATAAGAGCCTCGAACACCATCCCGTTCTGGAAGACAGGACTCTCACATGGGTCTTGACCTTTGTCAAAAAAAGCATTAGACATGTAATCTGCTAAATAATGACACAAAATGACCCCATAGCCATTTCACTAAGAATGAACGTTTCTCTGCGTTATTTCGTCCTAATTTCTAATATTTACCCTAGTCAGGGTACAACTGATATGGTTCACAAGCTAGCTTATATGTTAACAAATCACTTCATTAAGTTAGCATGGATTATAACTAATCGATAATGAAAATTCCCCTCCCCCTCAAAAAAAAAATAGAATAATCACATGGAATTTCGTAAGTTTAAAAAGCATGCTTATTGTTTAACCCTCAAACACCCGAACTTTTTTGTCACGTTAATGCCCGAACGGGGTCCAAATGGACCCCATTTGGTTTCTTTGAATGTATATTCCGTTCTGCATTCTTTCAGTGATCTTTGCACATATATTGGTTAAACTATAGTAAGAGGTATATTTTGGCATGATTAAGTGTTAAAAAATTCCAACTCATTATCATAATTTGTGCAAAAATAGGATGAGGCCTGCAGGCATGAACATGGGGTTGACCTTTGACCTCATATGATTGACAAATTGTCAAACATCTGAAAACCTGATGATCTATTTTGTGAGGTTGAAGTTACTTGGCGAACTGCATAATATTAAAGCAATAATGCTTCCTTGAAGACATATTGAGGACATCCGAACAATTTTGTGCGTAGGAATGTGCAAATATATGGCTGGGGTCCGTTTGGTCCAGATGGTCTTACATAAGACTTCTGTTGTTATTTTTATAAATTTGTGCCGATCTCCAAAAAAATTTAGGAGAACTTGTAGAAGATGTTTATCGACAAAGTCACGGGAGGAATTTTTTTTAAATGAAAAAAATTCAAATAGCACATAAAAATATACGCCTGGGGTCCAAATTGACCCCGTTCGGTGTTTGAGGGTTAAATTGAAGTTACTGAAATTGGCACATTTTTTTCAGAAACCCGCCGTCATGGCAACATGCCAATTAATATTCCAACTCACTCATATTAAATAAATGACCGATGTATTCTAGGAAAAATCACCATGTTCGGTGTTTCTAGTACAGGTCGCTCAGTCCGACACCCCACCCCCCTCCCCGCTTGAATACGGTTCAACAGCATGGCATAAACACAAAGGTAAGTAAAGGTAAACACAACGTGACAACTTTTTTTTTCATTCGAGATAATAAAACCCTTTGAAAACTAACGCCGTCACTTGTATACATCATGGTTTCACTGGGGCCTTCGAATTCTTGCTACTAAATACGAGCTTTTATGCTTAACAACACGTTCCGTAGCTCATTTCAGCAAGTGGTGTGGCCAAAATATTACGCCGCATGAGTATGTTTTGAAGCTGGAAACACCGCTGTCAGCCATGTTTGTTTACATTCTGGTATTTTGTGTGGAGTCACAAACTGAGCGCGCCTCCTGTGGCCCACATACTATCGATAATAAACGTCAGAAATGTAAGATTATGGAAAAATATAATGAAATAAATGACAATTTCATTTAATGTACTTAAAATTTTTGGAGCCAAAATGATACGCAATGGATGTCAAAGAAAACATCAATATAACACTAGAGAGGCCGACATTTGCTTGGGAGCAAATACAGCATATTTCAGTCCATCTCCCTCCCACGCAAAAGTGGACTATTCCAAACTTACCCCAGTGTAAAACTGGCAAAGATTCTCAAATAAATGAATTATATACAGTAGTAGTAGTAGGTATGTAATTGAGAACAAAGATGCAAGATCAAGCACATTGAATCTCGAAAGCTTTACTAGTCTTATTACAGGTATGCAAATACTAACAATGATGAGATTTGATACATTTTGAAGGTCTTAGGCACATAAAATTGAATGTGTGGGTCATTCCGCATGACTTACGTGCAATGTGACCTCAGGTAACCCGCAATGGAACACGTGTTCCATGGATGGAACCGGCCATTCTTTAGATAGAACATGGAACGGGTACAGCGCTTTTGGCCCTTTTTTTGCTGAAAATAGCCATTAAAGTCCTCCAAATGAGTCATTTGGAAGTGGTGTATGCCAAATATGTGACTGCTATTCTGTAGACACATGTTCAAGGTACCCTTATACCGAATTTCAGATCATTTGGTTGTAAAACCAGGGCTCAGGATCCAAAAATCCATTTTTTGGCGAAAAATGCCCCAAAAAACCTTCATAAAAATTTTTCAAAGGCATGTATCAAAAAAATGAAAAAAACGCCTGGGGGTATTGGTCCACTCTACCTCCATGCCAAATTTCAAGTCATTTGGCTGAATGATGGCGGAGTTGAATCCCTTTGACTGTTTGGCAGGAGGAGAAGGAGGAGAAGAAACACCAGAGAACACAATATATTTCATCCATACCATGGTATGGACTGAAATATAATTAAACAAGGAATTAAAAGAGAAAAAAAAGTATAATGTCACAGAATACGTACGGCAGTTAAGGCCAAAGATTGTTTTGGTCTGTGACCTAAGTTGTATACATCGTAACACAGCACGAGCATTGAGTGATTTTGCCCTCACCAGCCCCAATTTCACGGGGCATCACGTGCAAATTGATGAATATCAAAAGTTGCATTTTTCTACGGGCAGTGATGTAAGACGTCATAGTATACAGCTATAACCCAGAATGGGAGTTTCACCTCTTTCTTCTAGGTGGGGCCGAGAACGTTTTGATCAACCCTGGTAACAAACGGTTAGGACAAACTGGTAAATTTCAACCAACTAAGGCAGTCTGCATTTAATAATCGAAAGCCTTTGCAGCTATGTATTTCCATGGATGACATTCACAACGAGAAATTCACTTTGCACGAATCACATATAATGTTACATGACTTTCGTTTAGAATCTAACGTACCTAATGACAGCTGGACCAGGCACATACAGACTGCTACAAAGACCGTCGCCGCCATGTCGGAGTAATTTTGAAGGCAGCACTGCACGAAATGGCCTCGGATCCTAGCAGATGCGTACCGGGATTTGTCCGTATTTTTCGCAGATACAAGCGGATACTGACGGATCAGAATGGAATCCGCCAGAAAATCCGAAAAATCGGTTACTGCAATCCGGAACCTATTCCGTACAAATCCGAAAAACGGGATCCTTGTAGTAAATATTCCACACGGAATACGTTCGGATTTTGCCAGGATACGCACAGAGAAGAATTTGGATCTTGGCAGATGCGTACCGGGATTTTCCGGAATTGCTGACAGATACAAGCGGATACTGACGGATCAGAATGGAATCCGCCAGAAAATCCGAAACATCGGTTACTGCTATCCGGAACCTATTCCGTACAAATCCGAAAAACGGGATTCTTATAGTATATATTCCACACAGAATACGCTCGGATTTGCCCGGGATTCGTACAGAAATGACCCCTGACAAATGCGTACCTCAGGATTTGAACTTTAATACCTTTACCATATTCCCATTCAGGATACATTCGGATACGTACAGGCTTAATAGGAGCTCCTGCAACTAAATAGTTTATCATCAATACACAGTTTTGCCTGAAACATATCGTGTTCAATTACCACTCATAAGTGCTTATATTTGGGGTACATAGTTACCACTTACAAAAACTGTAACAAACATTTCTGTCCAACGTTAACCCCTAACAGTGAGCTATGCCTTTACACTTGAGGTCATAGTAAACAAACAAAAACTGTAACAAACATTTCTGTCCAACGTTACACCCTAACAGTAAGCTATGCCTTTACACTTGAGGTCATAGTAAACAAACAAAAACTGTAATAAACATTTCTGTCCAACGTTACCCCCTAACAGTAAGCTATGCCTTTACACTTGAGGTCATAGTAAACAAACAAAAACTGTAATAAACATTTCTGTCCAACGTTATACCCTAAAATAGTGTGCTATGCCTTTACACTTGGGGTACATATCCATACACAAATCATAGTGAACTAACAAAAACTGTAACAAACATTTCTGTCCACTGAAAAGTTACCCCCAAAGAGTGAACTTGGGGAACATATTCGTACACAAATCATGGAAAACGAGTTTCACTGGCCTCAGAAAATTCACCAGAAATAATACTAAATCTAAGTTAACATTTAGAAATCCATTCATTTAACTCTTAAGATGGGATTTTTAGACTTCGAAGTGGAAGAAGGGTCACTGGGCCAGGTACCCTCTTTGTTCACGTTTGCCGTTTTACCTGTTCACTTTAGTATGAAGTTTCATATTTTGGGTCCAGCTCACTTTTGTATGTTGTAGATTTGGGCAGCCAAAGAATGGCCTTAGTAAAAAAAAGATTTCCATTTCCATCATAAACTGACTCGTCTGGTGACATGTACTCCGGACTCAGTATGCCCTGCAGCTTGAGCCGCTTACTGTATGGTTTCTTCACCTTCAAGGCGATGATCCAGTTTCTGTTGGCAAAAAATCCATTGATCATTTAATACATCATAAGACAGACTAGCAAAACCTTGTCACATACATCCTGGAGGTATAAAAAGGTAAACAAATACACAGGTGACAAAACGTGTCCCATGCCTTTATAACGTCTTCGAGATGAGGAGGCTCCGCCTGTAGTACTCCCTGCTATTTGCAAATTACATTTGTCAGAAAACTTGGGCATCTTCAATGGACAAAAAGTAACATATAACTTGATCAAAATTTCCACCAGACATATAATAAAGGAATTGACAAATCGACTATACCTGAATACAATGAAAATACTGAACACTTTTTTTAAAGTGCTCCCTATTTTTGTCAAGACGAGATTGGCCCGGCACCAATGCCTATAATTTGACCGTTAGAAAGTATGAACAAGTTGCTACCCTACAAAGACAAGCCCCTAAAAGCCTTTCATCTATAAGGGGGCAGGTTAGTTAGAGACATTTTATAATGTTTCTAGCAGCGACATATCAATAACCAAATAGGTACGATAACTGAACTTACCAAACGCTCGCCAGTGTTGGATCAAGTGTGCAGGGCCGCCGTGCAAGGGGGAGGGGGCGCCGAAGTTTGCTACCAACGTCACTATTCTTGGCGTTTGAATTGACATCACATCCCCCTCCTGTCCAAACACTATCAATCCTGTCCAAACTCGATGGCCGATCATGGTAGACTAGTTATGTCATCATGGTATCACGAAAAAAAGCGATGCAAACGCCTGATTTCTCTCTAGCATTTCCCTGCTTCGAAGCCAACTTTCCTAACGGTTTTCATTCTAACCGCCAACACGGTACGCATGCGTACGCTAGCTGGCCAATCAGAGGTTCCTCAAGAAAGTTACATGTATGTGTTAGGTACACGATTTATAAGGGATGCAGATTGTATAATATAACTCGGAAAGATAGTATTACCCATGCTATATAAGTTTGGTAAATTCCAGATTTCGTGCAAGCGAGATCAGAAAAATTCCTCTTCTGGTATCTTTTTCGGATCTGCGGGATTCGTAATCCATATGAGGTCATATGTATGGATGCCAAGTGGGATCTGTTGGGATCTGTGGAAGCGAATCTGCATCTGGTATCTTTTTCGGATCTGTGAAACTTGGAATCCATGCGAATCCATAGTAAGAGTCAGTCAAGTGCGAAATTCACAAAAAATCTCTGCGTTTCTGGTATCTTCGGATCTGTTGAAGATAGATCCGCAAAATCCCGCTTCTGGTATCGTTTTCGGATCTGCAGAACCGTGATCCGTAAAATTCTGCTTTTGGTACCTTTATCGGATCTGTGGGACCAGGAATCCATAGCAGTACGAAATTCTGAGATCCGCAAAATCCCGTTGCTGCAAATCACTTTCAGATTTGTGGAAGCGAGATCCCGCTTCTGGTATCTTGTTCAGATCTGCGGAAGTGAGATCCGCGAAATCCCGCTTCTGGTATCTTGTTCGGAATCTGCGGGAGAGTCCAAAGCAGCAGTGCCCTGTGGGTTATTTTAGAATCCGTTTAATGCCCGGCAGGCGGATTTGCTGAAATCTGTGGTAGTACATGTATGACGACATGATGGGTATTTATTGTATCTGTCAGGATCCGAGGCAACTCCAGACTCCCCCGAAAACCGAACTTATGTGTTGAACGTCCTTGTTATAACATATCCGAGAAAGAAGGTTCCTTGCGAATATCAAATTTGTATCTGTGATTTCTTAAAGATCCGGACGTATACGGTGCCGGAATTGTCGGATCTGCAGTGCTACTTCGTATTCTAGTAAGGATTGCGGATTTCTCCGGATTTGCTACGTATCCGTCATGATGCACGATTTCGGATCTTCAGGATTTGCTATAATCCGAGGCCATTTCGTGCAGTGCAGGCTTGTTATCCAATGTACTATGACGTCACCTGGTTCTGTTTCATCGGACTACCAAGCAGTGACTGGTAAATCAACCTGCTTATCTTCCTCTCGGTGGTCAAGGGTCATTTGTTGTCGTTAACTTAGTCGTCACCTGAATTGAATAGTACTGCACTTCAAAACTACATCGCCAGGTGGCTATGGCATAAGAAATGATGATTGACTCGACTAATACCAAGGTGAAGATGGCTTCAAAACATTTAATGGTGCAGTTTCTTGCTATTAGAATATACGTATAATTCAGTACATTGGGTAAATTTACCATTAGATAAAGGACCTTTTCGAGTATATACTGAGGTTTGTTTACATCAACAATTTGTTGCCACTTCCGTTTACTTAGGCCGTGTTTATGTGAAGTCACCCAAGGCGCATTACATTAGATAGCTTAATTCTAGGTCTGGTTGGAACATCAAACAGACGTTCTTTGTCCATTGTGTAAATATTCTTCACGTCACATGTGCTGAATAGTCGAAAACAACTGTGCAATTTTCGGAGGAGCTCCAGCAAATTGCCATCGATCTGATAGGAGAACAAGACGTAAAATATGTTATAGAGCATAAATGAGGTATATTGGACATATAGTATGATATGCTGTGTTGTGAGTGTTACATCTATGGTTTCCCGCCAAAGTTACTGCGCACATGCGCACTGACCCCTCCAGGGGTCACTCTGAATGTACACGGAGCAGAGTCAATACACGTGTGTCCGCAATGCCAAGTCTGTGTGTCATTATGTGTGCCATCCTGGTCAGAGAATAATAAGCTGTTAACAAACGGTAGCAGAGGGCGCCGTGGTTCTTCGGACTCTACTACTGGACTGAAAGATTAGAGTAGCACAGTAAGGTGTTCTTCAAAGGTAGGTATACAAATGTACATGGCAGTGATAGACCTTACAATATTTAAAACAAACAAAATATGACAGCAAAGCTTTGCTCAGCATTAAAATAGGTGCATATTTCGTTTAGTAGTAGTAAGTAGTAAGTTCGTTTATTAACAAAAGAAAACCATCATAGTTTACAATCATTCTTTAGAAAAACTTTTTAATTGCTTTCTGTTAAATTCATGGGACATGAAACGTAATTCAGAAGAGTGGCAATGTCAGTGTCTCGAACTCTCTTCAATCATTTGTTCCATACGTGTTAACTTAGCATAATAAGAGGCGGCTTTGCTGTGATCACCAAGGATGACCCAGGCAACATACAGATTGAGTAGTGAGTTCGCAATGTCAGGATGTGGGATGCCCTCACCAAAGATACTCTGACTCATCTCTAGTGACTGTTCAAAGTAGCTAACGGCCTTTCTGTAATAACGTAAGTTTCCAAAGGCGGTGCCCAAGTTGCTCAGTGACGTGGCGATGTCAGGATGTTCTATGTTTTTATCATAGACACTTCGCCACATCTCTAGTGCCTGTTCAAAATAGCTGGCGGCCTTTCTGTGATCCCCAAGTTGACTCCAGGCGGCACCCAAGTTGCTAAGGGACGAGGCGATGTGAGGATGTGCGATCCCCTCGCCATAGATGCTTCGCATCATCTGTAGTGCCTGTTCATGATAGCTAACGGCATTTCTGTGATTACAAAGGCCACTCCAGTCGCAGCCCAAGTTGCCAAGTGACCCTGCGATGTCAGGATGTTCAATGACCTCACCGTAGATTAGACGTCTCATCGCTAGTGCCTGTCCATGATAGCTGACGGCCTTCCTGTAATCACCAAGGGCACCCCAGCGGTTCCCCAAGTTGTTAAGTGACGAGGCGATGTTAGGATGTGCGATGCCCTCACCATAGATACTCCGCATCATCTGTATTTCCTGTTCGTGATAGCTGATAGCCTTTCTGTGATCACCTAGGTCACTCCAGGTGTTACCCAAGTTGCCTAGTGATGAGGCGATGTGAGGATGTGCGATGCCCCCACCATAGATACTCCTCCACATCTCTAGTGCCTGTTCATGACAGCTGACGGCCTTTCTGTGATCACCAATTTCCCTCCAGGCGTTACCCAAGTTGTTAAGTGACGAGGCGGTGCCAGGATGCGCGATGTCCTCACCATAGATAATTCGCTTCATCTTTAGTGACAGTTCATGATAGCTTACGGACTTTTTATGATCACCAAGATGACTCCAAGCCAGACCCAAGCTGCTAAGTGACCCAGCGATGTCAGGATGTGCGATGCCCTCACCATAGATAGTCTGCCTCATCTCTAGTGACTGTTCATTATAACTAATGGCCTTTCTGTAATCACCAAGTTCCCTCCACCCCTGACATAAGTTACTAAGTGACCCGGCGATGTCAGGGTGTGCGACGTCCTCACCATAGATACTCCGCTTCATTTGTAGGGACTGTTGATGATAGCTGACGGCTTTTCTGATATCACCAAGGTTACCCCAGGCGTTACCTAACTTGTTAAGCAACCCGGCAATGTGAGGGTGAATCGCACCCCTTCCGTGTGTTGATAACGCTCTTTCAAGTGCCTGTTCAATGCATGTCTTTGATTGGTTGTAGTCGCACAAACTTTCGTATACATCTGCTTGTAGCATTAAAGAGTTGTCGAATAGAGTCGAGGGCTCTTTTACTGGTTGACTGTTGCTAAGTTGCGAAACTAAGTACTTCAAAGGTGTTGCCGTGTAGTAGTATCTCATGAGCTGTTTCACATTAGAGAAGTGAAAGATCTTCTTAGTTTTTTCCTCAACGTCATCATTGGTTGACATTGACGACAAGACTGACATGTTTTCCACCTGACCACGGTTGTTCATGTAAGTTCGCAACCTCAGTTCTGCTGAGATACTGACCAGAACCATTAAGTGATGTGCGTTCTTATCACTAATGGCACCCTTTTTATACATTTGTTGAATAGTCTCCCAGATTGTGGTGGGCTGTATGTCACAGAGCAGTGCCCAACAAGATACAGCAAGGCTTGAAAAGCGATACATTTCTTTCTTTACATTCAGCATTTGGGCAGTCGGATTCTGCATTTCAATAGTCTTGGTATTTTCCATTAACATAGTGTTTGCTAGTAACCTAGCAATTTCACTTCCATTTTTCTTCAGTTGCTGACTCCATGCAACAGTGTATTTGCCGACCAAGCCTTGTTCTCCAGCAATTAATGAGACATTTCCCAACACACTCGCCAGGTGGTAGCCTTTCTTCAGATGTAGCTTTACGTCATCTTCAAGATATTTGGCCAAGCGACATGGTGTGCGAATAAGGAGACATGTTTTACCTCTTCCAAGTGGGGTTTTACATGCAAGTGGCATGGCTCCATCGAACGAAAAACCACGGGGTGTTACAGAGTCGTAGAACCAGTTGTCCAGCTTGTTATCTGAATCGAAGTCATTGAGAGACTTGATCGCCATGGCCGGGAGAATGGTTTCCCCAAGATTGATCACTTTTAGATGAAGGTAATGTGTGAGACTTTGAAAATACTTCACACTCATTTCTGTTTCCTCCTCTATCAAAATAGCAAACTCCAGATCAGAGAATGGTGTTACCAAACCTGTGGCCTGAGAACCAAGTCCTATCATGGCGTAGTTACAGGGAGGGGGCCCCATTACCTCTATACACTCATCTACAAGGTCAGTTATGAATGTTCTTCTCTGCTGAACAATAGTGTCGAACAAGGCTTTGATTGCTTCCACTCTCTTCTTCTCTACTTCCGTTATTTTTGGGTCGTTGTCATCCAGAATATAAGGATCTATCTGCTGTTCAATTCTTTTGATCTCTTCTTCCACATAACAGCGCCATTCTGTTAACGCCGATTTGTGTTTCTCTATGTCATCCGTGGGTACCGTTTGTTCCATACACAGGACGTTTTCAACAAATGATTGTGTTATTTTTTGGATTGTTTGCTTAATACTCTCCATATCCTCTGTCTTTGATCTCACCAGTGCTGCGTTACTGAGTGCTGCAGCCTTGGTGAAGTCACCTCCGTCTTTTGACTTCTCTCCTCTCTTCAGGTAGATATCACCTAGCTTGCATAGGGGCTCTGCCTCTTTCAGATGCTGACCTGCATTGTAACATAATATCAAACGATCGTTGTAAACGTTGTTTGCTAGCCCCAAGAAAGTTTTGTTTCAAAGGCTCATTTGCCGGTTAGCTGACATAGTGTGTTACACACAGGTAGACACTTGTGTCACTTTTGTTATATTGACTTCACTAACGTAGCTGTTATAAAGTCTAGGCAGTCACCAAGTGACATGTAAAACTCCTACCTTTCACATGAATGACCTTGAGTGCAGCTGCAAAGTGTTTTTCTGCCGTGTCCAGGTCTCCTGTCTGCAGGGCCCTGCAGCCCTTCTGCAGCTGGTCTTCGTACGTACTACAGAAAAGGCACATTTGTTGACGTTATCGGGATACCGTAACTTTATTCCATACAATAAGTGAGACTTAAAATGTACTTCTGAATATCTATCTAACCTTGACGATGCATACTAAAGAAAACAGCGCACAAACCTGTCTGTGACCTCCTCTAGCTGTTTTTCTTCACTGCTGTTTCCAACTTTCTTGTTCCTTGTTCGTCCCATTTCTCGGCATTTCTTTGCCTTCTGGAAAAAAAGATAATATAGATGGAAACTTAGCTCAGATCTGCAACCAATACTCATGTAACAATGTAGCATGTAACGAAACCTAGGATTTCTAACCGTCAATTAAATATACTGAACATATGCATTTTGAAAAGGACAACGGTTTATTATTTTATCAGTCGCATAAAAATGACGTTTAAACTACATATTTGTGCTACAAGCCAAAAATGTCATATGCGCAAAAACTAAATTTTATATGAAAAGCATAATTTTGCTAACCTTGCATTGTTGTTCCTTAACCTTTTCCGCGTACTTGATGCGGTGCTTCAGAGTTTCTCTGCCATCTGAATCTTCACAGCGGTCCAGCGCCGCTCGGTACAGACTGGCTGATTTACTGAACGCTGCCTCGTCATTGCTAACCCTTCCCTTTTCTAAGTACAGATCTCCGAGACTCTTTAATGATTCTATTTCCATACGTTTGTTTCCTTTCACGATTGCTTTCACTAAATAATTTGTATAACCTTGCACCAAGGGCATCGTACCATGTCCTTTCAACTTGGACGCCTTGTTCATTTCGTGAAGGGTCATGGACACAGCCAATGTGGTATTTTCTGTATTCGTTGCACACGCGTTTATAACGTTTTGGTCATAGAACAGTTTGGTGCATTTCTCTGCATACCTGATGCGATGCTGTACAACTTGCTTCTCCTCAGTACTTGTGTAATACCGTAAGAGTTCCATGTACAACGAGCAGGCTTTCTGGAAGTTCTTTGCCTTATGCTTGTTCATCTTTGCTTTGTGCAGGTACAGATCTCCAAGACCTTTCAATGCTTCACATTCTAAAATTTCAATTTGATTACTTATACCCTGAAACAACTTCCGTGCGTATCCCCTCTCTACAACGTCCAGATCAGAACCACTTTGAAAGATAAAATCCAGTTCCCGAAATTCTTCCACCACTGTGGACAGCATAGTTTGTGTGTTTGCCATGCTGTTTCATTAGATGAAGGTATTTTAGCGCACTTTGTACTTTCGTGTTACCAACTTCTAGTTAGTGCCCTGTCATAGACTACTGTTAGTACTTACAGGTGCACACCCACTTCAGCAACAACCATGTCCCCTATAAGGTCGATATCTCGCTAGACATTGTGTCTTTGGGAAACGTACTTTCCTTAACTTTCCTCAATCCACTAAGATGCAAAATGGGTACCTGACTTGGGTAAGTAGAATTCAGTGGACGCCTTCCAATACCGTACCCTAGACACAGTGGATTAACAGCCCACTGCCCCTAAGGCCTAAAATGCTACATTTTACATCTTACGCCCCCTTAAGCCGGCGTTATACAGTCGGCGAACTTTGGTCGTACTTATTGATCTTCCGTAAGGTCAACACAGTTCTAAATCGTCAGACTGTCGAACGTAGTTTTCGCCCCCCTAATCACCTCTACCCTATCAAAGTATTCCAACTAGGCGGGGCTCGGTGATCGGTTAACATCGTCCGCGATGATCTAGAGACAACCGGGCGTATTACTGCCATTCGAGCCCGCAGACTAGTCGGCCGTTCGACGTGAATAAAGGGTAGGTTGTTGGCGTATTGCGTTTGTGAAAGCTAGCTGTGGTCCTGGTGGGTGGGATGATGACGTATGTTTACTCAACAAACAGCTGTAGAATTAACACAAACAAGTTGTCATGGTACAAACGATAAAACATAAAAAGTACTTATTGCAATTGGTGCTGACTTTTGATACCAATAACAATGATTTCAAAATAAACTGGTGTGACTGGAGTGCTTTGCTCTAAAATAAAGCGTTGGCGAAGCCACATCAAATTTAAGGTTATCAGAAAGCATTGCGTTCTGTTTCAAGTATTATATCCTTGACCGAAGAGAGATATACAGAAAGACAGAGATAAAGAGAAAGAGAGAGAGAGAGAGAGAGAGAGAGAGAGAGAGATAACGTTTCACGGCGGTCTGTCACTACGGCATTCTTTCCCATTGCTATGCGCGTTCTAAAAGGTATCGGGTTACAACACGCTATTTTGGCCTGTTTTGGACTACCCGTAAAATATTTGAAAATACACAAATAATATTTAGGGGTAAATTTCGTCAAATTAAAATGAAATTATTGTCTTAACATCCTTTAAATGTTAGCTTTTTATGTTAAATCAATGATTTTTTAAAATTTCGCTCAGAAAGACGATTATTTTCGGGTTTTCGAGCACAAGTCATATCACGTTTTTAGGCAAACATCGTTCAAACCTGGCTACGTATATTACCCCAGATCCCCGATTTTTATATTTTTCGCAGACTAGGAATAAGACAAAAAATCGTGTTTTAGGGATTTTTTAATTTCTGATTTTAAGTCTAGTTTTTGTCGACATATTGGTGAAAAAATGGCATTTTTTGACATTTTTCTCACTAAATTACCCATAATTCAAAATTGAGGCCATTTTTCAAAAATCCCTAAAACACGATTTTCGGGACAACCGTTACAGTCATTTTGAGCCGTAAATGGGGTATGTTTGACTCTCCATGTTTCCAGGTTTGAACGAGTTTTGGAGACATGTCATATCGCCAGAAAGTGTGCATTGTGTTATTCATACTGGCGTAAAGAATCATTACAGTATTCAAGGTCACTCAAGGATACGACAGTAGCTTCGCTACATGTTACATGTCCACCAAAAATAATAGCGGACATGTACTGTCCAGGAAACTGTTTGTATCTATAGAAAAGTGTTGTTTTTTATCTGTTGCAAAGCACGGAGGTAGAAAGGCTTGTTTTGCCGCTGTATAGTAAATGACCGCAGGTGACCCCGAAATAGAACGCGGGTTCGATTCGAATTCCCCAGATCGAACACGATCGAACACAGTTCGGGTTCTATGACATGTGGGAACTTTTCAGCCCAGATTTTACCACCGTGTTTACCGAGCACTTAAATTGTACTTTGTAACAGACTTGAGCACATGATGCAATCCAGCTTGTGTACACGTACTGGGGTCACTAAAGGGTTATAAACATCGGCAAACGTGGACTTCGCTCTAATAATGGTGAACCTGCAGCTCTGATTGGATAAAAAATAACCACGTGACAATGGTCACGCTCTAGTCAGGGGAAATATTACCCTCATTCTTTCCGACATTTTAAACACAGCCGATTGCTATAACTAAATTTTTAGCTAAGTTTACGCCCATTACTTACAAGCATGCGACTTACGCAGTGTTTGGTAGTAGAGAAACAATCTGTTTCAAACTGTTCACCTCAGAAACTAACAATTCAACATCGGTGTGCCTTTTATAGTTGTGGTATAACGTAAGTTACAGCCGTATTATTTATAAAGAGTACATATTTGCAGTGTTACGTTTTTGTTACTCTTACACAGATCAAGGTCTGGCCAGCTCTGTCAAACCAGTTCAATATTGCCGGATCTTTGTTGAAAGGAAAAGGCATTGCTTGTGCATATGTAGTGGCACATTTTTATCGTCTTTGGGTACAGAAAGAACTAACGGTCTCACCTCGGGACTGGCACCAGCGGAAGAGGAAGTCCCCAGGTGTACCCGCGCCCTTTATGTCATGTAGGGGTGTGTGGGAAGGGGGGTTTCCATCATTCTGAACTATTCCATTGGCTGGTAGTGGTAGAAAGTAAACTTATCGTTTTCTTTTCTAGGAACAGATCTCTGAGGCTCCTTGACAAGTTTTCTCCTTTTTTCAACCTTCATTTAACCTTGAAAACGTACAGAAAGTACTCTTCGGCCTGAGATCAAAAAGGGGAGGTAGCATTGCACATGACAAAAGTTCAAGGGGTGGTACCTTTGCGCCTGACAAACGTCTATAACATTAAAACATTGCTGCTGCGCCGCCTAGCGGTCCCCGGCGGACCTGCCTATGGGTCCCAGGAGGGGTAAAGGTCTCCCGCTACAGGCTTCGCTACCAGCCGGCAGACGGGTCGGGCTCGTACCAGGACCTCTCCCCCGCACCAGGAGCGGGAGCCACCTCGGCAACCGTGCAGGGACTGCTCGCCGAAACAGAATACAGCCTCACATTGTCTTGTTTTGACGAGGACGACCAGCCAAATGGGGAGATCAGTGGCACATATACCACAGGTGGATAATGTGAAAGGACTGAGAGAATGAACGCTGAGCCAACCATGGCTTTGTGCTACATTAATTACATTACGTAATGTTGTATAATTGGTCAATTCTACTAGGTAAGCCAGCCTCTAGATCACTCGGTTTTGACCTATTCTGGGACCTGCTACCAGAACTCGCAGTTCATGTTCGAAAACCCGCCGCGCCAGAGTAAGTCTTCTGCTGACTGTATGCTGCCGGTATTTGTCAGTGATGTAAAAGAAATATGTTTAAAAGGAACTTTGAATTTAACTACTCCTTTCTTCCATGACTTAAGATTTATATTAGTCAAGTAATTGAAAATCCTTTTGGATTCAGGATTACCTTCACCACAAGCGAACACGGAAACACACAAGGGGCTGGTTTACTGTTATCGTGAACGTAGTGTGTGACCAGGACAGTATGAGTCTGTCCATCCCCCGTGCGGCGCTGCCGGCTGTGAATGTGGAGGATCTGCACCTGCTGGACCCGGACTGTGGAGCTACTGAGGACGAAGACGAAGATGTCTTTAAGTTGGAGACACACCTGCAGGAGTGCGGAACCCGGCAGGAGGTAGGACAGAAAACCCCAGTTCCTCCTAACCCAGAGGATGTAGGTAAAGAAACATACTTTGAGTTTTGCCATTTTGTGATCTACTGTAAAGCTAGAATGACAGAAATTTGATTTACCATATCCCGCACCATAAATTCCCCTGGCACCCTCCCGCACACACAGCCCTGTCGAATAATAATTAGAATGCCTCCCCTTTTTAAGAATGAAATCTTCTATTAACCACACATTATGTTCTGTTCCAGGTAAAATACATTTCCACACAAACAAATCACTTTTTCACAATCACTATGACAAACATTGGATCCTATAGAATTAACAACTTCAATTTTTAAGAACATACAAAATATTTCCACACAAAATATAGTACTTATCTGATCACCCCTGTTCAAAATTGCATTTAAAACTAGTTTATTTTATATTATATCATGTAAATACATGTGTACCCATGCATGTGTATACGGCTACAACTGCACCGGTCATTATGACAAACTTTTACAGAGGACCTCCATCATCATAGGTAACAATGTCAACAAAAGGTAAGTGACTTAATTTACCACACCACTACGTGTATCTGCAGCTAATTAGGTTAAATGATTTAAAGGTATGGTTATTATAGCAAGCTATACAAAAATATAGATTACTTAGTATGTGACATGTTGCTATCGATTTACAACCCAAGACACCCCTTATTCCTGGCCAATATTTAAAACAAGGTTATGAAACATGGTAATTGCTCCTGTCATAAGTACATGTATGTGGCACCATGCCCAGATGTTCTTTTAGCAGATAAAGACATCCAATCCACATGCCCAAATATGACCACACAAATATGGTAACACACCGCTATAGTACATTATCTATAACACAGTAAAAAAACAACAAGTAAAACTATTCTAAAAGCCTGTGCCAAGAAAATTTAAAAAAATCCTGGGGGATTCTGTCCACTCCATGCCAAATTTTAGGTCATTTGGCCAACAAATGGCAGGGGAAGAAGAAGAAGACGAAACATGATCATGAGGAAAACATTGTCTTCATCAATGGAAAATTGCTTAAAAGTGTCATATATCTGTGTTGTTTTCAGCCACGTTCTGTGCTTTATGCATCGTTGCATTGTTGTGTCTCTTGCATTTCCTAAGACCTCAGGAGACGACAAATTCCTCTTCTCCAACATCATTGCCAACGGCGCTGTGCGTGGCCAGCCGGTAAACCTGCCCTTCCAGTGCGAGTTCCTCCGTCAGCACGTAGTTTCCCAGGGCAACGACATCATGTATAACATCCCCTCTCCTCGGTAAGATCATGCATGTGGCAGACCGGAGGGAGGGGGGTCTTAACGTATAGCGTCATAGTTTCGTATACGTAGCACCGTAACATTTTGCAGTTCTTTAGATACATGACTACTTAGTGAAGTGGCAATTTCCCCTTATCCAACATGGTTTTTGTTCATGATGGCTTAATTGTGCTTAAATGCTTCTTGGCCGGGCTGAAATAAGCGGACATACTTTGTCAGGAGACTGTCCTTTACCTCACATGTCCTAAAGGGACGAACAAACTGTGCAATTTAACCAAAATGTAAGGGATATTATAATAGGAGAACAAAACGTAAAATATATTGGAGAGTGAGAAAGATCATGTTGCAATGGGTACATAGATATAATATCCTAGGTTGTGATATAGACGTTTTTGTTACCACTCAAGTCACTGTGTTTGTGAACTGTCCCTGATTTTCTACAGTAGACCAATGGGTACATAGCCTGCAGGTGTTACTACTCGGTGACCTCCAAAACAACCTTTCCCTTCATATCATTGCATAGACAATCTATAATCTAAGTTGAGTTTTAAGTTCTGTAGAAGACAAACATACGAAGTCTAATGATACCATTCAAATCATTTATAAGTTAACAAATAACCCCCAATAAATTCCAAAGGGTCCTGTGTTAAATAAAAGTTATGCGCAAATATGATAAACTTCAACGCCGTAGAGTCATAAAGGCAATGCCTGTGCCGGATTAAAGCCGTCTTTTA